TTTGGCATAGCACGTGGGTAAGTCTAGAGCCTTTCTGCAGTGACCAATGGATGAAAACTGCTCTACATCACTTGAGCTCTGACTGGCAACCCTTGGCCTTGAGGTAAATGCCTGCAGGCAAAATACTTAGTTTATCTAAAAGTACCTACTAAACACAGTCTAACAAAGGTGGCACAATAAATGAGGTTGTGTTTACTTAAGTAAGTCACTGTGATCTTTCCTGTTAACATTCACTTCTGGATAGTGCCTAATGAATTAGTAATAACTTTTTAAAAATATATTTTTATTGATTTTGATTCAGGTTGTTTTCTTGAGCAGGATGCAAGGGTGATTTCTGTCCTGGGTTCTTGTCCAGATGGATTCGAAGAATGAAGCCACAGACAAAAGGTGGTAGATGAAAAGAGTGGAAATTTATTGGAAGCAAATACAAACTCACGTAGGCAGGGGGTTCCATGGGGGTGAGCCACAAGGCCCCCTTTTCTAGGGTTTATAAAGGCTGTAGTTCTTGGTTTCTTTATGCTCCCTTCTAATTGGACCCCTTCCCCACTTTATGATCCTATGCTCTTCTAACTGGTCACTCTTTCTGCAGAATATCAGCTTCAAAGCATAAACCCCACGTGGTGCCCCCTCCTTCGCTCCCCCTTATCTTGTAACATTTCTCTATCTCCTGTGAAAAAATCTGTTTTCCTCTTTCTGCCATTTGTCGGCATTTCTCTATCCTCTGTGAAAGTTTCCTTTTTCCCCATACTTTGTGGCTTTTCCTTACCTACTATGAATGGATGTCTTCCTCTCCCCTTATCCTGTGGCACCTTTTTTTTAAAAAAAAATACTTTTATTGATTTCAGAGAGGATGGGGAAAGGAAGAGAGAGAGAGAGAAACATCAGTGATGAAATAGAACTGTTGATTGGCTGCCTCCTGCATTCCCCCTTCAGGGGATTGAGGCCACAACTCAGGCATGTGCCCTTGATGGGAATTGAACCTGGGACTCTTCAGTCGGCAGGCCAACGCTCTATTTACTGAGCCAAACCGGCTGGGGCACCTGGTGTCTTTTTTTATTCTCTGTGAATGTATGCCTTCTGGTGGCTCCAAGCCCTCACCTATGCATTCCTCCCCCACGAACCCTCTTTATTCCTAAAACTCCATAAACCTGCCTATTTTATCCCTAAAACTCCTTTCAATTTCAGAGAGAAAAGGAGGAGAGAGAGAGATAGAAACATCAGTGATGAGAGAGAATCATTAATTGGCTGCCTCCTGTACGCCCTCCACTGGGGAATGAGCCTGCAAACCCAGAATCGAACCTTGACCTCCTGGTTCACAAGTTGATGCTCAACCACACAAGCTGGGCAGTAATATCTTTGGTTCCAAGTTTTGAGTTTTTTTATTATCCTCTGGGAAGTATAAATTAATTGTTGTTTTGTGTTTGTTGTTTGTTTGAAACATCTCCATCAAGTGTCGGGTGAATTTCCCGCCAGTAATGGGGTGGGGCAAGGAGTAGAAGGAAGTTGGCCATGCATTCATAATTATTTTAATATATTTCTCTCTTCCCATATCTAGGAATTCTCCATTTACATTAGTTGTCCATTTTTCTACTAGCCTTTTTGTTTTCATCTTTTAAATTTGAATTGCAAATATCCTGTGATTCTTCATGTGCATTGGGATCTTAGTCTTAGCTGGGACATGTCAGCATAGAGATATTCACAAACAAGGGTGTCTGCTCCTGAGATAGGTGTCATGGAAACAGCAGACAACACAAAATAAATTGTCTGGAAATGACAGGATTTTCCACAGATAGGGCCATTGTTTAATATAATTAATGATGATAAAAGTATGTTCTGGAATATTATGCAGCTATTGAAAAGAATGAGTTGCATGTACACATGTGACATTAAAATATTCCTGTTTTAAAAGTAAGCAAGATAGCTGCATATGCATCCACATCAGCACCGAGAGTGATATTCAAGAATGGAATTCCAGGGGCTGAGGGGCAAGCGTTCACTTTTATTCTGTTTACCACATACTGTGTGCCTGGTAACAATGATCTGATGTTCCTTTTATAATTACAGGAATTAACAAACTACAGAAAACTTGTCTGGATGGAGAACAGCAAAAAAATGAAATAATTTTTAAAATAAAAAATAAATTTCTCTCTATTCCTAATGTTTTAACTTTTTTAATAAATAAAACATACAAGTGGAGAGAAACACTTGCTACTTGAAACTAGAAATGAAAGTGGATGAAGGCGCCAAGTTATAAGACCACAGTCTGCCTTCTGCTGTAGCGGTAGCACAAGCAATATTTGTGCTCTACAGGTTGAAATGGAAATATCACTCAGGCAGATTGGCTAGCCTAGCTCACCTTAATAAGAGAAATCATACATGAGTATTAATGTTAGGGCATCAGCAACAACTTTATTCTGTAGTTGGTTAAGTTAGGTACACTTTCTTCTATATCCCCAAAAGTATGCTGTTAACTTTAATAGACTAAGATTTATTAAAGATTTTTAAAAAAATAGTTACACCAGAAACACCAGATTTTTCATATTTGTCTTCCTAAATAAACTACGACATTCAGCAATTTTACTCATATCCCTGTGAAAATCAAATTCTGCCATCTGTCCCAAATGCCCATTTTTATTTCCCTTTACATAAAACTAAAGGAATTGTCAAATGCCTTTCAGAAAAACAAAATTTTAAAAATCGACATGGTATATATAACAGTCATGGGCCTAAGATTTTGTGCATACATTTATTTATCCAAGTCACTTCTTTATCTAAATATATCTTTTGTAACTTTCTGGTTTTCATTTTAAGTTATTCTTTCCCATTGTACAATCTTTTAGGCACTCACAATCCATTGGATTCATAACTTGCATGTTCCTCCTTAACACAGTAAACAGTTGACATAAGTGGAACCATTTAAAATAGAACTAGGGCAGCCATTCCAGAGAACTGCCTTGCACGTCTTTTCCTAAAACCTTTCAAATGTTTGAACTGGGCAAAAGAACTCTTGGACTGGGCCAAACCAACTTTGTATTCCAAACACGGCTTGTGCAGCTAACAGGAAAGCAGACATGCTGACTATGAGGAATGAACGTTAAGGACAATCTTTAGAATTAGCACCACCATGTATATGTAAAAATGAACTTAGCTCATTAGCACCAATAGAAATTCATTTTTTCTATTCAAGTAATTATTTCCCTTGCCTTTCTCATAAAAACCCTATAATCATAACATTATTTGGGTTTCTGCCTGAATCATTGCTGCCATAATAGCTATACTTTGATCTCAAGCAAATGCTTGATGCCTGTTACTTTGCTTTTTATTTTTTAGGTTAATATCATCATATTTTCTTTATCCCTATTCTCATTTTCTCTCTTCCCTCGGCCAATTTACTAGTCCAGTTATGGCAAACCTATGACACGCGTGTCAGAGGTGATACGCGAACTCATTTTTTTGGTTGATTTTTCTTTGTTAAATGGCATTTAAATATATAAAATAAATATCAAAAATATAATTCTTTTTTTTACTCTGGTTGCAAATATCAAAAAATTTCTATATGTGACACGGCACCGGAGTTAAGTTAGGGTTTTTCAAAATGCTGACACGCCGAGCTCAAAAGGTTCGCCATCACTGTACTAGTCCAAGTATGGACACATGTTCAAGGAGTGTCTGGATCTCCAAAGTTATAAACTACAAATGGTATAAGTTATTTGAATTCAAATAACTTTGGCAAACTCTACCCTTAACTGCACCCACCTAAATGAAACAAAAAAAAAAGAAAAATTATTCCTTTATTAAGCCTCTAAAAACTTTTTTTTAATAAAAAGCAGTTAGAAATATTCTGCCACCTCTTTTTAATTGTGTGGCCTTTTCAACATCTCAACTCTTTTTTTTTCTTTTTTTTTAAATATATTTTATTGATTTCTTACAGAGAGGAAGGGAGAGGGATAGAGAGTTAGAAACATCGATCAGCTGCCTCCTGCACATCTCCCACTGGGGATGTGTCCGCAACCCAGGTACATGCCCTTGACCGGAATCGAACCTGGGACCTTTCAGTCCGCAGGCCGACGCTCTATCCACTGAGCCAAACCGGTTTCGGCAACATCTCAACTCTTTGTGTCTCATCACCTTTATCTGTTTTTTATTTGTTGTTGCGTTTAAAAATGATTTGCTGTAGGTAAATCTCTTTCTCACCTGATGTATGATGCACAGAAGAGTGTGCCTAAATGGACAGACACTAAAACAAAGTCTTTTGAAATCAATGTAAATTTTGTATCTCAAATGCAATTCTGAAAGTAGTAGTAACAAAAATAAATTGTAAATCTCCTAAGTATTAACAGATAGCTTATTGTAAGATTTCCTTGGGGCAATAATAAAGATGGGAATCTCAAGAAAACCCTAAAACTGGCTTTAAGAGATGGAAATAGAGGATTGGCAAAATCCAATCCAATCCAACAGAGAGGGAAGGGAAAAGGCCCAGAAAAGGATGGGCCACATTAGTGGCAGAAGAGTAAAAAACAGCTCTGCTTCGAGTCTTCCAACCGCGTTCCAGAATCTCCGGGCAGAGCTTTTTGGCAGTGCCCCAGGCACTTCCTCGGAACCTCGACTGTTCTATCTGCCCCAACATCACTCCCACCTGACGATAGGGCGAATTCCCAAACTCTTTCAAGTCTTTGCTCTAAGTCACCTTCCCGTGTGGCCTATTTAAAAGATGACACCCTCCCGGGTCCTCTCCCCACTTCTGGTTACCCTCTGTGAATTTTTTATGTTAGCCTCTCCATATGCTCAATTTGTATTCCTTCGGACACCCCGCCTGTCGCTTCTCCTTTAAGTTTTGCAGGAGAGGGGCGGAGCCAGTGCCGGGGCTCACCGAAAGGAGGGGCACAGCCATAGGCTCCGCCCACTTACGTAGCAGGCGGTGGCCAGACCACGCAAGAGACGTTCTACTCCGCACCGGAAGCGCGAGTGCGGACAGAGTGATCACATGATCGTGACGTCAGTGCCCCCGCGCCGGCCAGCCAGACGCCTTCAGCTGTCCCGGGTTAGGTGCTTCCCACCGGCTCGTCGTGGCTTTTGGGGTCCTTTCCTCCACACTTCCTGGGCCTGGAAAAGTGAAGTTATTTTCCTGCCCTGACAGCTGAGAATGTACCACAACAGTAGCCAGAAGCGGCACTGGACTTTCGCCAGCGAGGAGCAGCTGGCGCGACTGCGGGCCGACGCCAACCGCAAGTTCAAATGCAAGGCGGTGGCGAACGGGAAGGTGAGGACTCGGACGGCCGCCGGCTGCTCTCCTGGCCTCTAAACTCCTGAACAGCCGCGGGGCCCCCGCCTCTCCTCCCCGGGGGCTCGCTGCACACCTCCCCTCTCCTGACTGCGCGGCGCGCGGTTATCTATTGAGTAAGCAGGCGAGCACCTTGGCAGGTGCTGTGGGTCCAGCGACGGACAGCGCCGTTCCCGTGGGGGAGCGGCGGACGAGTAACCGGTAGCATGGCCAAGAGGAGACTGTGCGGGACTAGGGCCGCTCCCTGGCCACGCCGGGGTGCCGAGGAAGGCTTTCCCCGGTAACGGATGCAGGGAAGACGGGGCCAGGCCATCCCAGGCGGCCAGAGCCCCAGGTGAAAAGTGGGAAGCCGGGAGCTGCCGGGCGGGCGGGCGGGCGGGCGGGCTCCTGAAACGCCCCAGGCAGGTCGTGTGCGGCGGAAGCTAAGCGTTTGTGCAGGAAAGGCTGGGGACGGTGGGCGATTCGTAAGCGGAAATAAGGAGTTTGAACCTGACGATGAAGGGATTGAGAACTTGTGAAAGGTTTTCAATGGCAAATTAACTTGATCAAGTTCTGTATTAGAATAAGCCCTCTAGCGTCCCGGTGGTGAATGGATTGGCGGGGGCAGGTTGGAGGCCGGGAGACAGGAGGCCGGGAGCACAAACCGATTGATGGAGGATGGTGGCCTGCCAGCCAACTCCTTCCTGTTATTAGCTCCCCGTCACTCTAATGTGTCATCTTCCCTCGCGAGCACAAAGCCCCCCTCCAGCAAGTATTCGACGTCTCAGGCCTGGAACTGAGATACTGTACTTTTTTTTTTTTTTTTTTTTACCTCGGTCACGTATTTCTTACCGCTTTAAGTTTGTGCTGCTCAAAGCCGTCCTTAGTATGCACGATGCTGTTTGCTAGGCTCTGTTCTAAGCACTTGGCAAGTATGAGCTCTTTCAGTCCCCTGAGGTGGGTGCTGTTATTTTCCTGCCCTTACAGCTGAGGAAACTCGGGGACAGGGAGGTTGAATAGCTTCTCTAGGCTATGTTGCGAGTAAGTGGCAGAGCCGGGGTTGGAACCCAAAGGATTTAGTCCCAGCATTCCTGCCCTAAACCACAATTACATGCTGTCTATAAAATTAGGGCCTGTGTTAGTTTCCTAGGGCTGCCATTAAAGAATTTTTTTTTTTTTTAACCGCAAACCGGGTGCCTTAAAACAAGAGAAATGTATTGTTTCACAGTCTGGAGGCTAGAAGTCTGAGATCAAGGGGTTGGTCCATTGGTGTTCTCTGCAGCTTCTAGAAGATTCTTCTTTTCCTCTTCCAGCTTCTGGTAACCTCAGGTCCTTTTGCTTGTGGAAGCATAACACCAACCTCCACCTTCATCTTGGCATAGTGTTCTCTCTGTGCCTGTGTCCGCACATGTTAAGGGTAACAGTCATATTGAATTAGGAGCCATCCTACTCCAGTATGATCTTCCCTTAACTAATTACACCTGAAGAGACTATCCTATTATAATAAAAGAGTAATGTGAAAATTGACCCTAACAGCAGAATGACCGCTCGACCAGTCACTATGAGGCACACTGACCACCTCTTGGTCTCTTTCCCCGGCCGGCAGGCTCCGATCGCCTGATGGCCATCCCCTGCGGGGCCAGGGCCGGCGAGCGGGCAGGAACAGCCAACCTCTCGGTCCCTTCCCCTGGCCATCAGGCACTGATCACCCGATGGCGAACGGGGAACCAGGGGTGGGTGGTGGCAGGGGTGGGGCCGGCTGTGGGGAAGATGGCCCTGATCGCAGGCCAAGCCTAGGGACCCGTTCCCGCCCACGGTGCGCCGGGCCTCTAGTTTCTAAATAAGGTCACATTCTGAGGTACAGGCATACCTCAGTTTATTGAGTGTCACTTATTGTGCTTCACAGATGTTTTGTTTTTTTACAAACTGAAGGCAAGACCCTCCACCTGTAAAAAGATTACTGTTTGCTTTATTGCGGTGGTCTGGAACGGAACCCGCAATATCTCCGAGGTATGCCTGTACTGGGAAGTTAGGACTTCAATATATCTTTTATTTTGGTAGTTGTAATTAAACCAGTAACAGCAACTAATGGATATTTGTTGTAAAGTTGTATTTGCTAACCATCAAGTGTATCCTGTAGAGAGTTTACAAAGATGGATGAGAGGTAATGTTTTCAGAGTCAGAATCATCCTTGAGATACTTGTTGATTTTTATCTCAACCTGTGTGACTGAGAAAGGGGTCTTGAAAACTTTCCAGCTATTAACAGTGTATATCTTCTTTTTTTTATATATATTTTTTATTGATTTTTTACAGAGAGGAAGGGAGAGAGAGAGAGAGAGAAACATCGATGAGAGAGAAACATTGATCAGCTGCCTTCTGCACACCTCCTACTGGGTATGTGCCCACAACCAAGGTACATGCCCTTGACCGGAATTGAACCTGGGACCTTTCAGTCCGCAGGCCAATGCTCTATCCACTGAGCCAAACCGGTTATGGCTATATCTTCTTTTTTATTTCACTTACCTGTGAGCATATGCACACACACCATCAGGATTGCTTATACCTTAATGAAGCAATGTCCAGCTGACACTCTGAGAAATGGTGAAATGATGGTATAGTTTTAGTTAATTAAATATTTTCCTAACGCTATTTTATGTAATATTTAACAATTCTATAAAGAGAAAATGAGATGTAGTTTATTTCCCTTTGGCTGGAGATATAAACTAATCTGGACAGGGAAAAATATTTTAAGATCATTTAATTTACTGAACTTTTGTTGTAACTTTTGATCTAAAGGTTCTTCCCAATGATCCAGTCTTTCTTGAGCCTCATGAAGAAATGACACTCTGCAAATACTATGAGAAAAGATTATTGGAATTTTGTTCAGTGTTTAAGCCAGCAATGCCGAGGTCTGTGGTGGTAAGTTATGTTAGTGATGAAGTATGTCCTTTGGCTGACTTCTGAAATATGAACTCTTCTAAATTTATAGCTCAATCCTGTATCCACTTCATTCAGGAATGCAGCTTAGTTATATAAATATATAATTTATGTATTTAAGTTTTTGTCACATTATATATTTTTAATAACTGCCTTAAATTATGAATTTCTATATTATATCTTATGTTTCAAGTCTAATTTCATAGAAGAATTCTGAGGTCTTCTAGATGTATGATAAGCCATGACATCCTCACTTTATAAAGAAAGAAAAAATTAAATTATTTTCCCTCCAGGTCCTTAGTAGAACTAGGACCAGAACATAGATTAGTGCTTCTTCATCTGTATCACACACAGAAATATGTTTGAAATAATGCAGTTACTCATATTTTTAATCAAAAGATCCCTAGCTGAAGCTCATGCCATAAGGAATGTTTAAACCTGATTTATAGAAGCTGGAGATTTTCTTTGGGTGAAAAATTGTCTTACGATGTTTCAGATATATGATTCTGAGGACCCCATTTGTGTGTAGGTGTGTGCTTACTGTGATGGGGCAGTGGTGAGGAGAAACAGGTAGTTAGAATTTTTTGGCTATATGGATTAAATACACTGTCCCTGGATTGTTCCTATTTTGTGTATTATTTTTTTATAGAAGATAAGCTGAGATGAAAAAGCTGAAAGATACAGAAAAAAGAGGGAGGCGTATAAAATATTTTTTCCATATTTCACAGATTTGTCATGAAGATCAAATATGAAAGTATCTTAATTATAAGTCTTAAGTTTTGAAGTCATACAAGTGAATATCTTAGGACACAGTATGGAATAACCCCCTAGGAAATAATCTCCATTTTTATAGTTGAAAAAATTGAACTTTATTGAACATACTAAGTCTAAAAGTATTTGTAGTATCTTCTTAGTTTACTAGACCTTCACCGGAAAGATCAAAGATTCAGGAAGAATTTTAGATATACTTGTTTAGCTTCTATCTCTAGATTTAGTTCTTTTCTGATAAGAGAATTTTAGCATGAAGTAGTAGGTTTAAGTGATCTTTTCAGCTGAAGAAACTGAGTCCTTGAATGAACAACTTTGTGGAACTTGTCTTTATACAACACTAGAGCCCTGGTGCACAAATTCTTGCATGAGTGGGGTCCAGTTCGCCCGCCTCCATGAGGGCTGGTTGGGGACAGGGCCGGTCGTGGGCAGTTGGCCAGCTGGCCCCGCCCCTGATCTGGCCTCGCCGGGAGGAGGGGCCGCCCCCAATTGGGCTGGTTGGCCAGCTGCAGTGCATGTCATAGTGACCCGTCTGATGGTCGCTTGGCTTTTATATATATAGATGCTTATTTATAATTGACTAAGAATTTTGTTTTTTGTTTCACATAAAATATATAAAAGGAAATACTCCTTTTTTCTATCATGAAATAGATAAATGTTTATTTCATTGGTTCTAGCCATATGACATAGTGGTTAAAAGTGCTGGCAAGTCTTTGTTGAATCCAGCCCTGTCCCTTATTAAGATGTGTGACCTTGACCAAGTCAGTTAACTCATTGATACTCTCAGTTTTCTTCTCCGTAGAGTGAAGATAGCAATGTTTCATCGGCTGTTGTATGGTTTAAACAAGATGGTAGTTTTGTGTGTGGCACAGAGCCTGGCACATGCTTGCAGTCAGTAAACAGTAGGTGCTGCTTCTACTGTTTGGTTTGGTAGCAGCAACCATGGTTAATATCACAGACCTGGAGTAAATTTAGAGAGAAGGCTTATTGCCCCAACTGTGTTATACTTAATATTTTTACATTGACTGGTTAACCTGTGAACATCATTTTCTTCCTTAAATTTTTCTAAATTGGGCCACTTTTATTAATCTGAATTCTAAAATAATCACAACATTTTTTTAATAAGCCAATAACCATAGGAAGGATAACCCAGGGTGGGTGGTAAAGGACAACAAAGGGTCTTGGCTGTGGTGTTTCTGTAACATTTCATCACAGTTATTTTGATTAAAGAAGAATTAAGGTTTGATATTTTGTATGAATAACTTAAAAAAAATTTTTAACGTAAATTTATTGAGGTGACATTGGTTAATAAAATCACGTAGGTTTTTAAGTGATACATTTCTATGATACATGATCTGTATATTGCATTGTGTGCCTACCACCCATAGTCAAATCATCTTCTGTTACCGTTTGACCCTCCCTTTCTTCGGGTAACTACCCTACTGTTTGTGTCTATGAGTTTCAGTTTTATATCCCACATATGAGTGAAATCATATGGTTCTTAGCTTTTTCTGACTGATTTCGCTTAGTATAATATTCTCAAGGTCCATCCATGTTGTTGCAATGGCAGTATTTCATCTTTTCTTATGGCTAACTAGTATTTCATAGTATATCTGTACTGTATCTTCTTTAGCCAATCCTATTGAAGGACACTGGTTGTTTCCATGTCTTGGCCACTATGACTATGCTGCAATGAAGATAGGGGTGCATAGTTCTTTGCAAATACATGTTTTCAAAGAAACTTTCGGCAAATAATTTTTTTTAACTAAATTTAACATATAATGTATGTGTGAATAGATTCTGATAATATATATTTTTTTAACCTTAGGGTACAGCTTGTATGTATTTCAAGCGTTTTTATCTCAATAACTCAGTAATGGAATATCACCCCCGGATAATAATGTGAGTATAAGTCTGTCTAATTTATTGATTTTTATTTAAGAAGACCTTTATACCACTTGAGAGTGTGTGTGTGTGTGTGTGTGTGTGTGAATGTGTGAAAATTACTTCCTAGTAAAGGGTAATTTAGACTTGCATTCTATTCTGAACTAAAGATCCCTAAGCATACTTCTTATATATCTGTAACACTTCCCTGTAATACTGATGGCATCTGAACTTTAACTTGTCCAGATTCAAATTGTGTGTGTTTTCCAAGCTAGCTTCCCTAATACCCCTTTCTGTTAGTGGTACCTTTCTTCTCCTAGTTGCTGAGTGAGAATCATTAGTGGTAACTCCTGTCTTTCTACATCCAGTTAGTTTACAAGTCTTATAGGTCCATATAGGATTAATTTAAATTGAACAAAGGTCTTTGTGTTTCTGAGCTCTGCTGAGCACTATGCTTATCATTAAAGGTAAAATTGAAAATAGTATGAGACTCATCAAAGAGCTTTCTGTCAATTGCATTGTCCCTGTTTGTTTTTTTTCTCCTTTTTCCCATTTCTACCAATCTAGATCAAGCCCTTGTTACTTCCAATCTTGATTTTTGTGGTGATTTTATTATTGGTTGGTTTGTTCGGAAGTTAATAATTCCCTATTTAAATACCCTTGGAGACTTCCACTGATAAGCCTTCCACAAAGGTAGCTCTTTAACCTATCTTTTATCCCATATTCATATGGTATATATATGTGTGTGCTATTGTATATTTTTCTCTTCCATCTGTATTTCATGATACAAAGTACTCCTATTCCTCAATTACTTTGTTCTTCCAGATATTTAGGTTGAACTATATGAAACTGCCAATATGTCAGTAATGGTTGAATGCTGTGGCAGTACTGCACAGTTCAACCTAATTTTATAGTTTCCTATGGATTTAAAACTTTTAACAAAACTATTTCTCTCTCTCTCTCTCTCTCTCTCTCTCTCTCTCTCTCTCCATATATATATATATAGTACATATATACATATATATGTATATACATATATATTATATATCCTATAATGCCTGCTATAGTCACTTGTGAATATTAGTCAATTTTAGAATGTAGTTTTAGGAATAAAATATTTACATATTTTTCAAAGTATATACATATCCCTGGTTATATGTGTGCGAGAGAAAATTACTTTCTAGTAAAGGGTAATTTAGATTTGCATTCTATTCTGAATTTAAGATCCCTCATCATATTTCTTATATTTTCCTCTAGGCTCACGTGTGCATTTTTGGCCTGCAAAGTGGATGAATTCAATGTATCTAGTCTACAATTTGTTGGAAATCTGCGGGAGAGCCCTCTTGGACAGGAGAAGGCACTTGAACAGATTTTGGAATATGAACTGCTTCTTATACAGCAACTTAATTTCCACCTTATTGTCCACAATCCTTATAGACCATTTGAAGGCTTTCTCATTGATTTAAAGGTAATCTTTTTGGTAAAAAGTAAACTAGTAGAGTGTACTCCTTTGCTATCGTTCTATAAGCAAAAGAATCCAAAATTCTATCATAACTTTTAATTATCTTAATTGTTAAAATATGGGCTCAGCTAAAAAGTGAGCATGGCCTGGACCTCCATGGCAGTAGTTCTCAAACTTCAGTGTACATCAGGAATCACCTGGAGGGCTTGTTAACTCCTTATGGGGCTGCAGTTCCAGAGCTTCTGATTCAGTAGATCTGCAAATACTGACTCAGGGGTCATAAGAAAGAACATTGTGAATTTAGAGTAATGCTTTTAAAACTTAAGATCACTCTTGTAACTCTGAAGTATACTGTCATAGATCTTATTTAAAGAACCTTAAAAAAAATTCTTAATTTTAAACTAGAAAATTGTTAAGTGACTTCTAGTTTTAGTACATTGTGAACTGGAATCAAAGTATAGGCGTAAAAAATGTAAGTAAATAAATATCGATAAAAACGCCTTACGTTTTGTTTTTTTGTTTTGACCCTGAAAAAGGACTTGGATAGTCAGCATAAAGTCAAACATGAATCAGAAACTGGTTCATTAATCTCATTTTAAAGGTGAAATTTGGGTACCTTCTATATGCCAAACATCGTCCTCGATGATGAAGCCAAGAACAGCCTCAACATTTATACGCCTTATAATCTAATGGGAAAAATAATCATATATTCATTGTGCTCAGTGTTACAGAGAGGAAAATACAGGATACGTTTGAAGGAGATAGCAGATTGAGAGGAAGGGAAGGTAGTTCTGAGAAAGTGTCATTTTAAAGTGAAGTTCAAAAAAAGTAAATAAAAATAAAGGTCAGCTCTGGCTAGTGTTTCTCAATGGTTAGAGCATCAGTCCATGCACTGAAGGGTCTCCGGTTCAATTCCTGTTCAAGGGCATGTACCTGGGTTGTGGGTTTGCTCCCCACCCCTGGTAGAGGAGTGTGTGGAGGCAACCAGTCCTTGTGTCTCTCTCACATTGATGTTTCACCGCCCTCCCCTCCCTCCACTTTCTTGAAAAGCAGTGGTGGGGGAAAATGAAGTTCATAGCATGAGTAGAAATTTGGCGGTGAAAGAGCATCCCAGTAGGACTTCTGCAGTCGAAGGCCCAGATTCAAGAACCATGGTGCACTAAAGAACCTAAACAGCTTAGAGATAGAGGGGAAGACTGCCACAGAGTGCTGCCTGAGTGGAAGGTGGAGCCAAGACTGGAAGTGATGTTAAAGGTTTTGAATAGAGCAGGGGTAAGCCAGTGAAAGGTTAAGTCTGGAGAAGGTCAAATTAAGTTTACTCCTTTAAACACATCATGTTTTCAAATTCATGCATCAGTGTGCATCATATACTTATTGCACATCTGTATGTGTCATGGTAATGAGGAGAATGTATTAGAATGGATGAAAGGATACCAGTTACTATGCTGTTAGTTTGACTCATGTAGCAGTAGGGGGTACAGAGAGCTTAATGGACTTCAGAGATAGTAAACAGAATCAGTAGACCTTGAGGTTTAATTACATAAAGAGAGTGAGGACCCCCACCCCCCGGGGGAGTGGGGGTTCTGCAGAGGGATCCGGGGGTTGATGAAATTGGTTTGAAACCTGCTGAATTTCCATTGGCTGCAACACATCCAGGTGGGTAGTCATTTGTATCTGGAGGTAAGAGACAATGGCTAGACTCGGGCATCATTGCCCCAGGAAAACTGAAAGTGGAAAATTTAAATGAGGATCATATAAAGGGTAGGTAGAGAAATATAAGAATCTAGTAAGAAGACTGAAAAATACCCAGCGAGGTAGGACTTTCTAGAAAAGTGAAAGGAAGTAGAAAACGTTTAGAAGATGAATTTGAGCAACTCAGAATTTAGGCAGAGTAAAAGTAGATGGTTAACGCTTGCTGGATTTAGTGCCAGAAAAGTGATCTGGGTGAAAGTAGTCTCTGTGGCGTATGCAGGGTGAAAGCAGATTGGAGTCATTTGGGGAATAAATAAGTGAGCAAACAGTTATATGTAAATTGGATTAGACAGCTTGTCTTTGAAGTGGAAAAAGAAGATGGAGTTATTGAGAAGATGAGGGAACTGCTAGAAAGAGAGGAAAGGGACGGCTTTCTGTTGAGTTTTGTTTTGTGGAAGAAACTGATGTGGGGAGCTGGTAATGAGAGAAAGCTTAAACGGAAAGGTGGAAAATCTGTAGCTCAAGTTTCTCTTTGGAGTAAGGTAGAAGGGACTGCCGTGGGTTTCAAAGCAAGGTACAGGATTGGCCTTGGAACAGTCGCTCTTTTAAGGCAGGGAAGAGGAAAACAGTGTTATGCCTGGAAATTTAGTGGTGCAGGACACAGTTTCTTTGTTAAGAGCAGATATCATTTTCTATGAGTGATAGAGTTTCTGAGAATTAGTAAAAACATTGAGAGAGATGGAGAATGTGTAACATAGACACTGAAAAATAGAACATGTTTTCTATGGGACATTATAGGTAGGCAGTGTTGAGAGCCTTGCTAAGATAAGGGAACCTAAATCTATATTTATAAAAAGCCTAAGTGACCGTTATGACCAGATGACTGGCCGGTAGCTATGACACGCACTGACCACCAGGGGGCAGACACTCAATGCTGGAGCTGCCCCCTGGTGGTCTCTGCGCTCCCACAGCCAAACTCCCATGGTCCATCCCCCTGGCCAGCCAACTTCCCGTGACACAGCCCTGATTGGCCCAATCCGGCCCTGATTGGCCCAATCGTTGGCCAGGCCGAGGGACCCGACCTGTGCACGAATTCATGTACCAGGCCTCTAGTTTATAATAATAATACCAGACCTCTTAGTTGTATTGTTTTCTCTAGCAGCACCAGAAATCTAGGTATGATTGCAAAACAGGAGGTTTGTTGAATTCACTTGTTGAACTTCTGCCAGCAATGTGTTGGCAACATATGGTGCAGAGAAATCAGGAGGGAAATAAGGACCAGAAAACACGGGTGAGTAGAAACAAGTAGAGAGATAGAGACCAAAAGTTCTAAGGAGGAAGACAAAGAATAGCTGTGAAATAATTGAGCAAATCTATTGGGAAAAGTGGAATGTCAGAGGTTAGGCATTTTGGGATAATGACTACACCTGGGAGTGACTACGCAATTGTATCAGATTGTGTGTGTGTGTGTGTGTGTGTGTGTGTGTGTGTGTGTGTGAGAGAGAGAATCCTCACCTGAGGATTTTTTTTCCATTGATTTTTAGAGTTGAAGGAAGGGGGAGAGACAGAGAGAGAGAAACATTGATGTGAGAGAGCCACATCGATTGGTTGCCTTGCACATGCACCCTGACCCAGGGCCGGGGATGGACCCTGCAACTGAGGTATGTGCCCTTGACCAGAATTGAACCCGTGACCCTTCAGTCCAAGGACCGACCTCTAACTACTGAACAAAACAGGCCAAGGCTATATCTGAATTTTTTTTCAGATTATGGAAAAGATTTCTTACTGCTTTTGGAGCTGATTGTGGGTATCTACAGTAAATCCAAAGCTTTAGGGCTCATGTTAAAGGGTAAGAATTGTCAGGAAATATGGGAACTTCCATATTTCTTAGGCATATTCTAAAAATAATTCTGTAATTAAACCAAGATTTATTTCCTTTTGCTTCTTTCCAAAAGTAAACGTTAAGTAGAGGAATTTCAAATCAAAATGAGGTGGTGCTTTGGTTCCTAAATATTGTCTTACATCTGAATCACCTGGATTACCTGGGAAGTATGTATTTCTTGGGTCAACTTCAGACCCAGTGGAATTTCTAAGAGCCTCTTTCCCATACTTCCTTTTGTGGAAAAGGACAAAAAGAGGGATTAACATAAATCAGAATAGCCAAGTACTATGCTGGGAACTTGAGCTATATTATTTTAAAGCATATATTTCTTACTTAACAACTGCACTTTCAGTACATTCTAATGTGGAGTACAAAATAATGGAAAGATTGTTGTTACTAGAGTATAGAAAAAAGTTTTATAAAAGCATCTTGTGTTAATTTCTGATTAATATAAATATTTTGAACTGTCACTTCATTAAACCCTCATAAGTAATAACATTTGCAAACTTTCTTTCTAGACCCGCTATCCCATGTTGGAGAATCCAGAGATTTTGAGGAAAACAGCAGATGACTTTCTTAATAGAGTTGCGCTGACGGATGCTTACCTTTTATACACACCTTCTCAAATCGCCCTGACTGCCATTTTATCCAGTGCTTCCAGAGCAGGAATTACCATGGAAAGGTATTAATTTGTGTTTTAACTTAGATCATTCAGTCACTTAGTTTATTCTCTACTGGAATCTGAGTTTTTAAGTAAGGTTCATTTTGTGAATATAGTCCTTTATATCTCCTATGGCTGGAAGGGTTAGGGCAGCTGAGGGAAGAAATGAAATCACTTTTTAAGGAAATCTTTAAAAATTGAGTATGATATTTTTGAGCTAAGTGGATTCGTTTGTGACTAAAGTAGAAGTAAATCAGGTTGATCTTCAAAAGACTGATAACAGCTATCAGTATATGGCAAATTTAAAAGTTTTGTGAAGTAGTGATCAACATGAGTGCCAAAATATGTCTGCCTTGATTTATCATTATTCTCCTGCTATAAAGCATGTGTGGCATATGGAATTTAGTAAAGATTTATTGAATGAATAGTACTTTAAAGAATGTCCAAATGAATTGCAATTCAGTTGTAAATAGTAGTACTTAATACATAAATGCACAATGAGAACCAGGTTCTATGATAAGCACTTTACATAAATTGAATTCACTTGATTCTTATAAAAATATCTTCAGTACAGATTAATTAAGCATTATTATTCCTGTATTATTTGTATTTATAACTCCAGCACAGTCTGGCAGCAAACTCAACTTTTTAAACTTTTATATTAAATTTTTTTAAGATCTTTGAAGTTCTGATTTATTTTAATCCTTGAAATAGCTGAGGAAGGTGTTCTACATGTCATCCCTCATCCGTAATTTCAAAATCCATTGATATGGGGCAGCAGACATGAGCAGACGTTGATTTAGTCTTTCATTTAATGGGAATATATTTTCTTGTGAAATATTAATATTACTAATTACAGAATACTGCCCCGGACATCATAGTATATACACCAGGTTACTTTTAATTTCAAAACAAACCCAAGATAAGGATTTGTAGGCTTGCATTTTGCTTAATTTATGGTATGCCTCTTCTCTACAAATAAAGCTTGCCAACTGTATATAAATATATACATTTAATCCCAAAGTGATTTATACATCTGTCTAATTACTTAAGCAAACCTTTACTGATTGCCTAAACTGTACTATACTTTAGGAATGTAATAATAATATATAAATCCTTGACTTAATTAAAAAAGATATTCATGCAAATAATTGATATCAGTGGAGTTCAGGTGTGAGGCTTTCAGTCTCTAAGGGAAGAAAGCCTCTTTCTAGAATTCAGATAATCAAATGTTTGATTAATGTGTTTATGTATCATATAGAGAGTACATGCATATTTTTCAGTGGTGAAATTTTTCTTAGCGATACAGAATTTTTTTATGTGTTCCTTTTCTGTGCAAAACCTTTTTAGTTTGCAGTAGTCCCATTTGTTTATATTTTATTTTGTTTCCCTTGCCTGAGGAGACTTACTAAGAGCGATGTACAAAAGTTTATTGCCAATGTTTTTATCTAGGAGTTTTATGGTTTCAGTTCTTATGTTTAGTCTTTAACCATTTTGAGTTTATTTTTCTATATGGTCTAAGAAAGTGGTCTGGTTTTATTTTCTTTTGCATGTATCTGTCCAGTTTTCCCAACACAATTTATTGAAGAGACTGTCTTTTACCCCATTGTATATTCTTGTCTCCTTTGTCTATATAGGCGTGGGCTTATTTCTAGACTGTACTCTCTATTTTATTTTATTGATCTACACATTGTTTTTATTACTATAGCCTTGTAGTATAGTTTGATATCAGGCAGCATGATACATCTAACTTTGTAGTTTTTTATCAAGATTGCTTGGCTATTTGGGGTCTTTTGTGGTTCCATATAAATTTTAGAATCATTTGTACTAATTCTGTGAAAATTGCCACTGGTATTTTGATAAGGATTGCATTCATTCTATAAATTGCTTTGGGTAGTATGGACAGTTAAACGATGTTCATTATTTCTATCTTTGAACATGGTATTTGCTTCCATTTATTTGTCTTTTCATTGTCTTGTAATTTTCTAAGTACTAGTACAGGTCTTTTAACTCCTTGGTTAAGTGCATTTCTTTTTTTTTCCCCCTCATGCAGTTGGAATTCTTTCCTTAACTTCTCTGATAGTTTGTTATTGATGTTTAAAAATGCAAATGATTTCTGAACAGTAATTTTGTATCCTGCTGTTTTACTGAATTCATTTATTAGTCCTAGTAGTTTTTTGGGGAAAGCTTTAAGGTTCTTGTTGTAGCAAGTCAGCTGCAAATAGTGACAGCTTTACTTCTTCCTTTCCAATTTGTATGCCTTTTATTTCTTTTTCTTGTCTGATTGCTGTGGCTAGAACTTCCAATACTATGTTGAATAAAAATGGAAGGATGTCTTGTTCCTGATCTTAAGGAAAACATTTTTAGCTTTTCACCTTGAGTATGATGTCAGCTGTGGATGTGTCATGTATGACATTTATTATATTAACATATGTTCCCTCTATTCCCACTTTGCTGAGAGTTTTTATCATAAATGGATGGTGGCTTTTGTCAAATGCTTTTTCTGCATCTATTGATATGATTTTTATCCTTCATTTTGTTTATGTGGTGTATTACATTAATTGATTGTGGATATGGAACCAACTTTGCATCCCAAGAATAAGTCCCAATGGATTATGGTTTATGATTTATTAAATGTATTGCTAAATTTAGTTTGCTAATATTTTGTTCAGGATTTTTGAATCTATGTTCATTAAGGATTTTGACCTATAATTTTTTTTCTTTCTTTTTAAAATTTAATTTTCTTTTTTTATAATGTCTTTGTCTGGTTCTGGGTTCAAGGTAATTAATATTGGCTTCACACAATGAGCTTGGGACCCTTCCCTCCTCTTCATTTTTTTTGGAATGATTTGAGAAGAATTGGTGTTAATTCTTAGAATGTGTGTTAAAATTCACCTGTGAAGCTTTCTGGTGAACTGTTCTAAAAATATCAATTACATGCATCTGGTCTAATGTTTCATTTAAGGCCACTGTTTCCTTGTCGATTTTCTGCCTGGATAATCAGTCTATTTATATCAATAGTGTGTTAAAGTCCCCTACTATTACTGTGTTACTGTTGATCTCTCCTTTTTGTCCATCAATATTTGCTTTACATATTGAGGTGCTCCAACATTGGCAAGGGATGGAGATATATATACATATATATATACATATATATTTTCTCGGTCCCATACTCTTACTCTTCTTCTGGTACCCCTATGATGCAAGTAGTGAATGTTTAATCTTATCCCACAAGTACCTTAAACTATCCTCACATTTTTTATTCTTTTTTCTTTTTGCTGTTTCGATTGGGTATTTTTTGCTGCCTAGTATTCCAAATCACTGATTTGATTATTTGCTTTATCTAATATGCTGTTGATTCTATCTAATGTATTCTTCATTTCAGTTATTATATTCTAAATTTCTGACTGTTTATTTAATGGTTTCTCTTTTTGTGTGTTCTCACTGACTTCATCTGTTCTCCTAAGTTTATTGAGCATCCTTATAACCAGTGTTTTGAATTCTGTATCTGGTAGATTGCTTGCTCCATTTCATTTAGTTCTTTTTTTTAAAGTTTTATCTCATTATTTCATCTGAGACTTGTTTCTGTCTCATTTTGGCTACCTCCATGTGTCTTTCTGTGTATTAAGTTTATCTGTTACATCTCCTAGTGTGGTCAGAGTGGCCTCATTAGTATGTGTCCTATTAGTTTCAGATGTATAACCTAGTAAATAGACATTTATGTAACTTACAAAGTGATCACCTAATAAACTAGTACCCATATGACACTATACATAGTTATTACATTATTATTGATTATAGTCCCTATGGTATAAGTAACATCCCCATAACTGTTCTTTAACTACCAATTTGTATGTTTTAATCCCATTATCTTTTTCATCTAGCCCCCAACTCCCCTCCCATTTGGCAACTATCAAAATATTCTCTGCATCTATGAATCTGTTTCTATTCTGCTTGTTTGCTTACTTTTTTAGATTCCACATATAGGTGAAATAATATGGCATTCGTCTTTATCAGACTTAATTCACTCAGCACAATACTCTCTAGGTACATCTTTGTTGTGGCAGATGGCGAGATTTCATTCTTTTTTATGGCTGAGTCATCTTTCATTGTACAAGGTGAGGCAAAAGTAGGTTTACAGTGGTGGGTATGCAAAACAGAGTGTATTCTTGTATTATTTTTTTTTACATATGAACAACTGTAACCTACTTTTGCCCCACCCTGTATAAATGCACCACTTCTTTATTCATTCATCTATTGATGGACACGTAAGTTGCTTTCATATCTTGGCTTTTACAAATAGATAGAGGCCTAGTGCATGGATTCGTGCACTGGTGGTGTCCCTTGGCCTGGCCTGCAAGGATTGGGCTGAAACCGGCTTTCCAACATCCCCCGAGGGGTCCTGGATTGCGAGAGGGCAGTTCTTGGGTGACGCACCCTGAATTTGGGCTCCTTCCTCTCTGGTTCCGGGTGCATCACCCAAGAACTGGAGCTGCCAAGTCACCGCAGCTGGACAGCACCTATGTTGAGCATCTGCCCCCTGGTGGTCAGTGCATATCATAGCTACCGGTCGGAGCCTCTGCCTCCTGGTGGTCATTACATGTCATAGCTACCAGTTGGACGACCACTTAGGCTTTTATATATATAGATGCTGCAGTGAACACATGGATGCATATGTCTTTCCGATTTAGTGTTTTGAGTTTCTCCAGATAAATATCCAGGTGTGGAATTACTGGGTCCTTCTTTGTGTCTCTTATATATATCGCCGTTGTTTTAGGGGCTATTTTGTCTGGTATGAATATTGCTGACCCAGCTTTTGTTTCGTTGTTTTCTTTCCTTTTTCATGAAACGTCTTTTTCTATCCGTTTACTTTTAGTCTGTATATGTCTCTTGATCGGAAGTGAGTCTTTTGCAGACAGTGCATGTGATGGTATTGTTTTCATATCCATTCAGCTATCCATTCAATCAGTCTTTTGATTGGAGATTTAATCCATTTGCACTTAAAGTAATTGTTGATAGGTATGTATGTATTACCAGTTCATTTATATTTTTGATCTTCCTAAAGATGATACTTTAACATACCTTGCAATACTGGTTTGGTCATGATGAACTCCTTTATCTCTTAGCTTTTTCTTGTTTGGGAAGCTCTTTATCTGTCCTTCAATTCTAAATGATAGCTTTGCTGGGTAGAGTAATCTTGGTTGTAGGTTCCTGCTTTTCATCACTTTGAATATTTTGTGCCAATCCCTTTTGGCCTGAAAAAGTTCCTATTGAGAAATTAGCTCACAGTCTTATGGGAGCTCCCTTGTATGTAACTAACTGCTTTTCTCTTGCTGCTTTTAAAATTCTCCCTTTGTCTTTAACCTTTGGGATTTTAAGTAGATGTGTCTTGGTGTGTTCATCTCTCTACTTCCTGGACTTCGGAGCTTTTTTTCTTCACCAGATTAGGGAAGTTTTCAGTCATTATCAGTCCGCAGGCTGACGCTCTATCCACTGAGCCAAACCGGTTTCGGCAGCTCACAGTCTTATGGGAGCTCCCTTGTATGTAACTAACTGCTTTTCTCTTGCTGCTTTTAAAATTCTCCCTTTGTCTTTAACCTTTGGGATTTTAAGTAGATGTGTCTTGGTGTGTTCATCTCTCTACTTCCTGGACTTCGGAGCTTTTTTTCTTCACCAGATTAGGGAAGTTTTCAGTCATTATCAAATAGGTTCTCAGTCCCTTGCTTTTTCTCTTCTCCTCCTGGTACCCCTAAAAAGAGGGTGTTGTTATACTTGGTATTGGCCCAGAGGTCCCTTAAACTATTTTCTCTTTTTTTTTAAAAAAATTCTTTTTTCTTTCTGCTGCTCTGAATGGGTGTTTTCTGCTACCTTACCTTCCCAATCACTGATTTGGTCCTCTGCTTAATCTAATCTGCTGTTGATTTCCTTCTGGTATATTCTTAATTTCAGTTGTTATGTTCTTCATTTCTTAGTAGTTCTTTTTTATGGTTTCTATGTCCTTTTTTATGCTGCTGAAATTTTCACTGCATGCAATGAGCATTTTTATAACCATTGTTTTGAACTCTGTAATTGGTAGTTTGCTTGCCTCTGTTTCATTTAATTCTTTTTTCTGGAGATTTTTCCCATTCTTTTATTTGGGACATGTGTCTTAGTCTACCATTTTGGCTGCCTCTCTGTGTTTGTTTCTATGTATTTAGGTAGATTTGCTGCTGTGGTGGCCTTACGTAGTAGGTGTCCTGTAGGGACCAGTGGTGCAGCCTCTCTGGTCCCCTGAGCTGGGTGCTTCAAGTGCGACCCCATGTGACTTGTGTACACCCTCCTGTTGTAGTTGAGCTTTGATTGCTATTGGTTTGTGAATGGGAGGGATCAACTCCCAGGCCGATTAGCAACTACAGTGTTGGAGCCGCTATGCAGGGACTGACCCTATAGAGCAGAATTTGCTTCAGCAGAGAGCTCTGGTGCCAGCAGTGTCCGCCCCTTGAGTGTGTCACTTGTGGAGTAGTCAGGTGATACTTCAACATGGTCTGAAGCTAGCTACCATGTTGCACTGTCTCTGGGGCCTCCTGGAAGGTGTAGGCCAGGGGTGGGCAAACTTTTTGACTCGAGGGCCACAATGGGTTCTTAAACTGGACCGGAGGGCCGGAACAAAAGCATGGATGGAGTGTTTGTGTGAACTAATATAAATTCAAAGTAAACATCATTACATAAAAGGGTATGGTCTTTTTTTTTTTTAGTTTTATTCATTTCAAACGGGCCGGATCCGGCCCGCGGGCCGTAGTTTGCCCACGGCTGGTGTAGGCCATGGTCAGCTACCATCTGTGCTCTGCCCAAGGCCACCCAGCATGAGCCTCAAAAAGATATGTAGATGATGTTACTTGTGCTGGGCTTGGAGTTGCCCAGGAGAGGCCAGGCTGTGAACTGAGTCTGGCTGCTAGTGCCCACTTAGCAAGAGGTAAGCAGCATGCTGAGGCCAGATGTTGCTTGTTTGGGGTTTGTGAACCTTTGAGAGAATATAGGAAAATCCAGATCATAAGCCAAGACAGGATGTGTATATGGAAAAGCCATTGGAAGTCGATTGGGTGGGCCAACAAGTAGGGTGGGGCAGGTCTTGGGAAATTTCCAGGGCACAGTGTTAAACACGTTGATGGAGACTCAGATGTGGTGCCTGTCTGCATCTGCAGGGGGAGGGCTCAGCAAAGGAGCAGTAGCCTCTGCCTGCACTCTCTGTGGGAGAAAGCTAACCCTCCAGCCCTTGCCCCAAAGCCAGACAATTCAGTTCCTTCTTGAATGTCTGTGGTGCCTTTCCAACTGCTGCCCCAGTGCTGGATCTCAGGGAGTAAGTCCATACATGAGCCCTTTAAGAGGACAGCCTGGGACTCCAGCAGCCCTCCCTCTTACTCAGCCACAGTCTTCACTGCTTTTCACAGCCAGAAGTTATTGGGTCTTCTCTTCCCAAGACTATGACTCTGGGCTGGGGAGCCTAGTGTGAGGCTAGGACTCCTTAATTCCTACTGGGACCTCCACAGCCAAGATATGCCTTGTGATTTTTAATCACCACACAGGGGTGCAGACCACTCTGTTCTGCATCTCTGCCCCTCCTGCCAATCTCAAGGTGGCTTCTTCTTTATGTCCTTAGTTATAGGACTTATGTTCAGCTAGATTTCACATGGCTCTCAATGATGGTTGTTCTGTAGTTGTAATTTTAATGTGGTTTTGGGAGGATGCAAGTACCATGTTTACCTTCTCCACCATCTTGAATGGAAGTCTCCCTTCTAATTCTTAACTGCCACACCCTGGGTGACGGAACAGCTCATTTTGCATCTCTATCCCTTTTACCAGTCTTGATGTGGCTTCTGTTTTCTATCCTGTTCTAAAGATGGTTTTCTATGATGGTTCTATAATTTTATTGTAGTTTTTATATGGTTGTGGGAGGAGGCGGGCACAATGCTAACCTACTCTGCCACCCTGAATGAGAGTAAGATAATTGCTTTTACATTATTCCTGATTTCAAAAAGGGATAGAAAGCCCTTGTGCTATTGTTATATTCTGGATGCTTTAGATTATTACTCAGAGGATGTTCTGTTGTTAGTTTTAGGTTTTCTTCTTTTTATTGGATTTAGAGCTTTATTTCTTATTTCCTAGTTTGACTGCTTAGATATTCTTGCTTGCCTTTGAATTTTTTAAATCAAAATTAAAATTCTAATTCAAAATTGAAATTAAAAGTTGCTAACTTAAAAAAATTTCAGAGTTAAAGAATGTGGTCAGCTAACTCTTAGACCCAAATGCATTATTTTTATACTTAAGAAGGAGTTTTACAAGAAAGGGGAAAAGGAAAACAAATTGTTTTTAATTACTGATAACCAGTAATATATTAGTTGTAAAGGGAGTTACTGATTTCTATATCTGAAGTTATCTCCCACAATAGATGATGAAAATCTAATATTAAACTTAATTATCAAAACTCTAATATAATTTGCCCGGCTGGTATGGCTCAGTGGTTGAGTGTTGACCTGTGAACCAGGAGGTCGAGGTTCAGTTCCCAGTCAGGGCACATGCCTCAGTTGTGGACTCGATCTCCAGTGCGGGGACATGAAGGAGGCAGCCAATCAGTGATTCTCTCGCATCATTGATGTTTCTATCTTTCTCTTCCTCTCTCTTCCCCTGAATTAAAAAACAAACAAAACCTCTAATATAATTTAAATAATCTGGATAGTTTAAAACACATATCTCAACACAGTTTCTTAAAGAATCTATTTTTGTAACTATTTTACCCAAGAGAAGAATTAATGTTTTTGTGTTTATCTTTGAAATGTTACTTATGCCTTAAGAATCTGTTCACTTGGGCTGTTATCAATTATAGATCAAATTCAGGTACATAAAACCTCAGAGTAAACACTTTAAATATAAAGATTACACTTTCATACTACTGTCATTGGTTCTAAAAAAAAATGGGTAATTGAGCTTTATATTCATCCATGAAAAACTATTAATACCTTTGATTTGGACTCAGTGTAAATAAGATGTAATAGAATTGTAAGGCATGGGATGATATTCTTACTGGTTGGAATAGCTAAGTCCCAGGAACAACTGTAATTAACATGGACTTGGTAGTAAGGAGAGAAAATCCTCACTTGTGCCGGGTTCCACCTCTTTAACTTCTTTGCTTTATATTGGGCAATTTACATCGTCATGACTTGTCTGTTACTAGAGTCCTCATTTGTAAAATGAGGTTCAGACTCATAAACTTTATATATTAAACACTTAACATTAAATGTAATAACTGTTGCTACTGTTATTTTCATACCTCTAAGCTTATATATTACAGAAATTAAACACCTTTTAATGTAATATAAATTGCAAATCAGTAAGACTATAAAAGCTATACATTATAGCTTTGTGGAGTTCAAATTACTGTTTTTTAATACATTGTGAATAAATTAATTTTAAAATTGCCTTGATGATGAACCTTGGCCGGGTTGCTCAGTTGGTTAGAGCGTCATCCTGATACATATACCCATGGTTATTGTTTTGATCCCAGGTCAGGGCACATACAGGAATCAACCAATGAATGCATAAATAACTGGAACAACAAATCAGTGTTTTGTGCCCTTTTCCTCCCTCTTTCCCTTTCTTCCTCCCTTCCTTCCAAACTCCCTCCCTCTCTCTCTCTAAAATCAATAAGAAAAAAATTTTTAATTGACCTTGATGATGAAATGAACATGGAGGAAAATAATTTGTCAGGTTTTTTCAAGATGCTGTGTGTGTCTAATAGATTACAACTTTTTTCCTTTTTTACCAGTTATTTATCAGAAAGTCTGATGCTGAAAGAGAACAGAACTTGCTTGTCACAGTTATTAGATGTAATGAAAAGTAAGTAAAAGAAAACTTTATAAAATATTCTATAACAAAGTTACTTTGTAAAATATCTTAATATTTAACTTGAGATAACAGATTGTTTATGTTTACTGTCATTGAATTATTGTATCATGGAGGCATGAAGGATATATTTGTGGGGAACAAATAGAAGATACACGGAAAGCAGTTTTTATACATATAGAACTTAAGAAAGTAAAAATACAATCAGATTTAGAAAGGGTTAAGTTTTAAAACGGTTCTTTTAAAGTGTAACCAAATATGTGATAGGCACTGAAAAAGATCTATAGGAAACTAAATTTAGGGATATTTAAATTTGGAGCTTCTATTTTATAGATACATTAGCTTTAACTAGTTAGTTAGCATGTGTCATTTGCTAGTCATTTTGTTAGTTAATATTACAAAAACTGTGGTTCTCAACTGGTTGCTATTTTTGCAATATCTGGAGACCTTTTTGGCTGTCACACTTGGGGCGTGATGGTGGCTGCTATCAGCATCTAGTAGGTAGAAGTAAGAATGCTGCTAAATATCTTATAACTCACAGTAAAGTCCCTTGGAAAGCTGAAAAATATCTGCCTCAAAGATATTCATGTCCTAATCCCTGGAGACTATAAATCTTAACATATATGCAGATGTTATAAAGTTAAGAATCTTGATATGGGGAGATTATCTTGGATTATCCAGGTAAGGCCTAGATGCAATCACAAGAGTCCTTGTTAAAAAAGGCAGAGAGGGAGGTGTGACACACAGAAGGCAATGTGAAGACAGCAGAGGGAGATTTGATGATGCTGGCCTTGAAAATTGGAGTATTATGGCCACAAGCCAAGGAATGTTGGTAGCCACCTGAAGCTGGAAATGGGAAGGAATCAATTTCCCCCTGGGGTAGGAGTGGGGATAGTCTAGCTGGAGGGCCTAGCCCTGTCTAGGCATTAGAGATGAATTAATTAAATGTTTGACCAAATACAGCAGGCTAATTCTTTTTTTAAATTCTTTTTTTTTCTTTAATATATTTTATTGATTTTTTACAGAGAGGAAGGGAGAGAGATAGAGAGTTAGAAACATCGATGGGAGAGAAACATCGATCAGCTGCCTCCTGCACATCTCCCACTGGGGATGTGCCCGCAACCCAGGTACATGCCCTTGACCGGAATCGAACCTGGGACCTTTCAGTCCGCAGGCCGACGCTCTATCCACTGAGCCAAACCGGTTTCGGCTTAAATTCTTTATTATTTAAATATTACATATATTTCCTTTTTCCCCCATTGACCTCTCCCTGGCTGCTCCCACTCGCCAACACATGACCTCACCCCCCCTACTTCTGTGTCCAGTGGTCATGCTTATATGCATGCATACAAGTCCTTTGGTTGATCTCTTACCCTCCTCCCCACCCTCCGCTGCCTTCCCTCTGAGGTTTGATGGTCTGTTCGATGTGTCTTTGTTTCTGGATCTATTTTTGGGTTCATCAGTTTATGCTGTTCATTATATTCCACAAATGAGTGAAACATGTGATATTTATCTTTGTCCGACTGGCTTATTTCGCTTAGCATAATGCTCTCCAAGTCCATCCATGCTGTTGCAAATGGAAAGAGTTCTTTCTTTTTTATAGCAGCGTAGTATTCCTGTGTGTAGATGTACCACTTTTTTTAAATCCACTCATCTGCTGATGGGCACTTAGGCTGTTTCCAAATCTTAGCTATTGCAAATTGTGCGAGCAGGCTAATTTTTAAGTTGGTAATTTTGTATGGCTGGTGAATGATGTTATAATTATTCAAATGACCCTTGGCATAAAAAAGGTTCACCACCCCTGCCCCGGGGCCTCCTGAGAGAGGGTGGCTTTGCCAACATTTTGATTGTGGCCTAGTGAAATTGATTTCAGATTCTTGGGCTTCAGAACTAAGAAAGGATATGTTTGTTATTTTAAGCCATACTAAGTTTATGGCAATTTTTAATAGTAGCCTCAGGAAACTAATATAGCCCCTTACAACAAAGAATTCACCAGCCCAAACTATCATAGTGCTGATGTTGAGAAACTGTTCTAGGGGTTGAGTAGAACCTCCACTTAACGGATTTGGCTGGATTAGCCAGCCCCCCATCTGTTCTTCATTCTTGTCTGTGGCACTGAATGCTCATGGCTACTTGGCTACTCTTTAGGATTAAAAGTAAATTGTATTTTTCCCCAAAACTTTTTGTGCCAATGTCCTTGTTAATTAAATTTGTAGTTTAATTAAATGCTGAATAAACCAGTAAAATTTGAGATTGAAGATCTGGATCTTAGATGATAATAGAAAATGGGTATAATTTTTATGTTTTTAAAGTTTAAAATGCTTCAGGACATAGAAGAATTATTTCTTTTTTTTTTTTAATCTGCACACAAAGATTTTTTTTTTTTAATTAAATCTTTATTGTTCAGATTACATTTGTTCCTCTTTCCCCCCCCCATAACTCCCCTCCTTCCAGTTCCCGCCCCACCCTCCGCCCTCACTCCCCACCCACTGTCCTCATCCATAGGTGCACGATTTTTGTCCAGTCTCTTCCTGCATCTCCCATTCCCCTTTCCCCCCCAAGAATAGTCAGTCCATTCCCTTTCTATGTCCCTGATTCATTATAATCACCAGTTCATTCTGTACATCAGATTATTTATTCACTTGATTCATAGATTCACTTGTTGATAGATGCATGTTTGTTGTTCACAATTTGTATCTTTACCTTTTTCTTCTTCCTCTTCTTAAAGGATACCTTTCAGCATTTCGTATAATACTGGTTTAGTGGTGATGAACTCCTTTAGCTTTTCCTTATCTGTGAAGCTCTTTGTCTGACCTTCAATTCTGAATGATAGCTTTGCTGGATAAAGTAATCTTGGTTGTAGGTTCTTGGTATTCATCACTTTGACTATTTCTTGCCATTCCCTTCTGGCCTGCAAAGTTTCTGTTGAGAAATCAGCTGACAGTCATATGGGTATTCCCTTGTAGGTAACTGACTGTCTTTCTCTTGCTGCTTTTAAGATTCTCTCTTTGTCTTTTGCTCTTGGCATTTTAATTATGATGTGTCTTGGTGTGGTCCTCTTTGGATTCCTTTTGTTTGGGGTTCTCTGCGCTTCATGGACCTGTAAGTCCATTTCTTTCACCAGGTGGGGGAAGTTTTCTGCCATTATTTCTTCAAATAGGTTTTCAATATCTTGCTGTCTCTCATCTTCTGGCACTCCTATAATTCTGATATTAGTGCGCTTGAAGCTGTCCCAGAGGCTCCTTACACTATCTTCACACTTTCGGATTCTTTTTTCATTTTGCTTTTCCAGTTGGGTGTTTTTTGCTTCTTCACATTTCAAATCTTTGGCTTGATTCTTGCGCTCCTCTGGTCTGCTATTCGGTATAATATTCTTTATTTCAGTCCGTGTATGCTTACTTTCTAGTTTCTTTATCGTAGCATCGAGGGTCTCATTAGTTTTCGTGAGGCTCTCCTCAAGTTTATTGCAAGCCCTCAAAATTGCGTTTTTTAGCTCCATATCCTCCATTTCTGTCATGTTTTTTTGTCTCCGCATTTTTTATGCCTTCTTGGTGCACCCCCTTGTGGTCTTTGTGCGCAGTCTTGTTCTAGTTAAGCCTTGATTGTTGTAGTTAATACTAGAGGGATTTGACCACCAGGCTGACTGGCTGCGAGAATCAGCTGTGGGAAAACTTCTGTCCTCTGGAGAGGTGCTAATCTAGCCTTTGCCTGAGGCTATCCGGCAAATGGCTCTGTGCAGGGCTTGGGCGGGTCGGGTCGCACGGGATCCACAGGGCGGGCGGAGGGAGCAGTTATGGCTGCTTTCAGTCCGTCCCCAGGGGCTCTGCCTCTCTGTCCCAGCAACCGCTGCAAACCTCGGAGGGACTGTAGCCAGACAGTCCCGCTTCTCCCGTTTGAGTCTGGGTCCCTAGAGACTCGCCCGGATCTGGAGCTCTGAGTCTGAGGCTCCCTCCTGATTGAAAACGACAACCGCGCCCTCAGCCACCAGCCTGCTTTGCGCGCGCACCTCCGTACCTTTAAATTTTCCACACTGCGCCGCCTCTGAGCCTCGGAATGCTGTTGTCTTTCCTTCTAGTTGAAGAGTCTCTCCTCAGCCAGCCCTCCTGTGGTTCTGGTTGATGTCCGATCCATCTTTTAGTTGTATTTTTGAAGTGGTTGTTTGCGGCAGCAGTCTCCGGTGTTTACCTATGCCGCCATCTTGGTCGGAATCCCAGAAGCATTATTTCTTGCTATCTGTTTGAAGTGATCTTAAGAACTTCCCCCTTTTAATTGATTTATGAATTATAAATTATAGGTTTTCAGTTATACTACTACAGGGTTCACTTCCAAAGCTATAAATTGGAACATGGAATTTAGTAGTTAGAAGGGGCCTAATAGATAATAAACTGTGATCATTTTATAGCTGACAGTTTTATTGCTGATTTCTTCTTAATTTTACTCCCCTTCTTTTAACATGAAATAGGAATAGCTCTTGATGAAATACTCAGAACTTTAACAATATTAAGGTATCTTATCCATCTTTTTGCAGAACCAAGATACTATCCTGGGGATTGAGTCACAGTATTAATTCAGTTGAAAACACTGCTTTATTTGCATTATGAAATAAGTCAGTGGAATCGTCACCCATTTGGAGCATGTGGCTGGCTAATAATAAGCCCTGGATCTCTCATCATTTCCTTTATAAATTTTGATACTTATTTGATTTATTGTTGTTGGATAACAAACAGTTTAGGTAGAAGAGGTTTCTGCAATTATAAAGTCACTGACATAGTAGTTTGCTTTAAGCCTATAAAGGACATTTTTTGTTTTCTTGATGTTTCATTACATGGGTTATATATTTTATTAAAGCAGAGAATCATCAATTAATACATTTTTACTACACTTCCTTCATTACATATTATGTAACTAGAGGCCTGGTGCACGAGATTCGTGCACTGGGGGGAAGGGGGGGTCACTTAGCCTGGCCTGCACCCTCTCACAGACCGGGACCCCTTAGGGAATGTCCTCCTGCCAGCTTAGGCCCAATCCCCTAAGCCAGCAGTCAGACATCCGTCTTGCAGTCCGGGTCTCTCGCAGTCCAGGACCCCTTGCTCCTTACCGCCTGCCTGCAGCAGAGGCGGGAGAGGCTCCTGCCACTGCCACTGCACTCACCAGCCATGAGCCCAGCTTCTGGCTGAGCAGTGCTCCCCCTGTGGGAGCACACTGACCATCAGGGGGCAGCTCCTGCATTGAGCGTCTGTCCCCTAGTGGTCAGTGCACACCATAGTGACCAGCCGTTCTGTTCAGTTGATTTGCATATTAGGCTTTTATTATACAGGATAACTAGAGGCCCAATGCACAAAATTCATGCAAGAGTAGCCCTTCCCCCAGCTGCTGGCACTGGCTTCTCTCTGGCACCCGGGACCCGGGCTTCTCTCCGGCCGTCGGCAGGCACCCAGGAACTGGGCTTCCTCTGGAAGGACGTCTGGTCCAATTAGTATATAATGCTTTTGTTATTATTGATTATTATAGATTATAGATGGTTTCCTTTGTTAATAAGTACACTCTTGACCCAGGATAGAATGTTATGAATATGGTTGGTGTCAGGGAAAGCATGTTGACTAAATCATGAAGGAATTACTATAAAAAGCTTTAAAACTGAGCACAATAGGATTTGAAAAAAATACTATATTGTAGGGCATGCTTATCTTTATGCTATATGTAATATAGCATAAGCGCTGGCAGCTATAATTATTTGAGCTAGAAGTATGGTGTTCATTATATTAAAATGCAGAGTACACATCCTGAAAAGGAGAATCACATCATTTCAAGAGTGTTTTGTTCCATAACAATGTGAAAAAATATTCTACTACCTTATGAGAACAAGGCTTATTATCTAGTACTAGAGGCCCAGTGCACGAATTCGTGCCTGGGTGGGGTCTCTCGGGGTGGCCTGCAGGGATTGGGCCCCAGCTTGTGCTCCCAGGCTTGCAGCCCCGCCTGGCACCCCGCTGTGGCCTGTCACCGCCCCCCCCTCACCTGCTCCACCATCCCACCTGTGGGGCGATCAGTTGGGGCTGGGTCCCCTGCCGGTCACCATCTGCGGGGCGATTGAGCCCCTGCTCCCACCCACCTTGGCCTAGTGCCGCCAGCTCACCTACTCCACCATCCTGCCGCAGTCCCGCTGTCATCGGAGCCAGTAGTACCTTCACTGCCGCCCACTGCTGGCACCCACCACATTCCGTGCTGCCCCCTGGTAGTCAGCATACGTCATAGCGAGCAGTGGAACTCCCAGTTGAACAATTTGCATATTAGGCTTTTATTATATGGGCTAATTTTTTTCTCCGCATAGGCATGAGAAACTTGGTAAAGAAATATGAACCACCGAGACCTGAAGAAGTTGCTGTTTTGAAGCAGAAGTTGGAGAGATGTCATTCTGCTGAGCTTGCACTTAACGTAATTACGTAAGTAGTTGGGAGAGTGTTATTCAAAAATAGATAATGGGACTCCCTGAACTCCTTGCCCTTTTAATTTTTGGATTTTTTGCAGGTTTAAGATCTTGTCTGAGGACCAAGTATACTGTTCCAAACTTATTTTAACTACTCTAGGTAGGGAAATGGCATATTTTCTTTCAGAGGTAAACTATATTAAAGATGGAACCGATAGTAAAACGTGCTGTTAGACCTTTTTTTGCAGCCATAAAGAATACCCATAATGTCTCTCAGTGACTTGTAGGCTGTATGTGGAAATCACCATATTCAGGATCCTTATGCTTTGCAAATTGAAGGATCTACATAAATGTAATCTTTTAGGAGTTTAAACAGTCGAGAATCTGGTCAGGTTATAGGAATAGAAAAACTGTAAACTGTGGCTTAGCATAGAACTTAAAATTGGTTGATTTCACTCCTGGGTTTCATTGGTAACTAACAGGAATGATTACAGAGAAGAAAAGAATGTTGACTTCAATGAGTAAAAATAGTCCACTGTGGTCTAAAAATATTAAATGAAAAATTCCAGAAATAATTCATAAATTTTAAAATTGTGTACTATTCTGAGTAGTATGATGAAATCATGCAATGTCTCACTCTGTTCCACCTGGGACGTGAATCATCTTTTTGTCCAGCATATCCACACTGTATGTACAGTACAATAAGGTAATTTGAGAGACTGCATAACTTATTACAGTATGTTATTACATTTTATTAGTTACTAATAATGCACAAAATTCATGCAAGGGGCTCAGCCCTCCCACGGCGGTTTGCAGCCCTGGCTTTGTCTGGAAGGTTTGGCTGTCTGGTCTAATTAGCATATTATGCTTTTATTATTATAGATTGTTAATCTCTTACTGTGCCTAATTTAGAATTAAACTTTATCATAGGTTTGTATCTATAGGAAAAAACAATATCTATAGTTTGGTACTGTCTGCAATTTCAGGCATCCACTGGGGGTCTTGGAACAATTTCCCCCACCCACCCACCCCCCATAGATAGGGGGGATTACTGAATTGCAGCACTGGTAATTTTCTTTTTACAAGAGATTTGAAATGGGCTTAAACTATGGCTTGGCAAACTATATAGCCCATGGGCAAAATCCAGCCCCACTACCTGTTTTTAGAAATAGTTTTATTGGAACGTAACTACACACTTAGTTTTCATACTGTCTATGGCTTTTTTCACACTATAGAAGAAGAGTTGGGTATTTGAGGCAGAAACTGATGGTTATAGCCTACAAGGAGTAATATATCTACTATCTGTCCCTTCAACACAAAATTTTTCAACCTCTGGATTAAACAATAGAATTTATTAATCTTACCCTTCTAGCTAGTTAATTGAATGGACCATAGCCTAAAATTCATAATTGCCAGAGTTTACATCTTACTCAAATTTACCACCCACTTTGTACTGTGCTAAGCAGATTCTACATTTCTATGTGGACTTGAAGGGTGCTTCTCAAACTGTAAAGGACTGTTGTTGTTTTTAATTCATTACAGACCTATATGTTTATGAAATATAACAAATTACTAAAAAATGAGTAAAAAAGACATAATACAAGCTTAAATTTTATTAGATTTGATAGTCATAATTTATCAAATTTCTATAAAAGTTTCTAAACACACGCTTAGTTTCTGTATTTATTGCACACTGGAAATGGTTAATGGACCACACTTGTAAGCACTACTTTAGGATAAAATATTTGTTTTCGTCTGTATCATCATTATGAAAGTCAGTCAATCAGTACAGGTAAACCAAAATTCTCTTTGACCAAAAGCGAAACCTGTTTCGTCCTCAGAGGTAACTTACAGTGGTCACCTTTGCCAGCCTTTTCTCCTCTATTAGTGTATGAAATAAAGTTTTTCTCTTTTTATCGATGTTTTCACACATATAATACAACTTTTAATAGTATCTTTAACTCTTCCTTGTCTGGATGAAAAAAAATTAGTATTTTAATTTGCATTTCCCCTATTACTCTGAGGCATTAACATTTGTATGTTTAACAGTCATTTGTATTTCTTCTATATTGCTTATTTAAAACCCTTGCTCAATTTTCTGGTGTTACTTTCTTGATTTGTAGATCTATATTTTATATACTTATTATACACCTATTTTTCTTCTGTTGTTTCTTTCACTTTGTGACATGTAAGGAAATTTATCATTTGCGTTATGCTTTTATATCTAAATACCTTTTCTTAACCTAGTTTGCCTTTTCAACTGTTAAAAACGTTTAGAATTGTGAATGATCTGAGGTAGAAATCTCATATTTTCAAATAACCTGTTGTAACAGCCATTTTTAAATATTTCATAATTTGCCTTATTACAGATTAAATTCCTATATATAGTTGTTTTACCTATCTAACCATTTTAACACATTGCGTACCGCATAGAAATCTCTAAGACATACTCCAGGGACCGCACATTTTTGGGCAAACTGCACGTTATTCAAATCATCATAACTACAGATCATAATGCACTTTAGGTGTTGTTTTTCAATAATTATAACATTTTTATTTACAACAACAATTAAACAAAGTTCCTAGTACTTTTTTAACGTATGGTACTGCGTAAAACATTTTCCTCTATGAAGCGGGACCAAACAAAATTTACATAAGTATCTAGATTCGCTCCTTTTTCCATGGGCGTGAAAAACGAGAACACTGGTGAGCGGTCCTTAACAGATGGCGCGCGAAACACGAGACAACTCCTGAGTGGTACGAAATGTGTTCATCTGTTATAGTATTTGCTAATACCACACTTTTAGTTATCATAGCTTTTATGTATGATATTTTGATGAGAACTGTGATACAGTCCCCACACTTACTTCTTTTTCAGATTTAGACTTGATGAGTTCCATGAAAAATTTTGTTAGGGTTTTAATTAGAATTACATTGAATTTAAGGGTTAATTTGAAAGATACTGTCTTTATAATTCTTCATCTCTTTCCATGTATCCAGGCTTTGTTTTCAGAAATTGTGTTTCATATAACTATAAAATAAATTAGCAAGACTATGTTGCCGTTTATTACATTGCTTCTTGATGGTTGCCTAATTACAGGAAGAAGAGGAAAGGCTATGAAGATGATGATTATGTCTCAAAGAAATCCAAACATGAGGAGGTATGTTCCCCAAAGGTATCTATTATTCTTATTGTGCATTCTGGTATGACCATACTATTAAGATTTTATTCTTCCAGAGTGCAAGCATTATATATGTATGTATGTATGTATGTATGTATGTGTGTGTGTGTGTATATATATATATACACACACACATATATATAGATGTGTGTGTTTGTGTGTGTGTATTAGAAAGCATTCATACTTTTTTGCATCCTCCTCCATGTACATAGTCCATTATTAGAGATTTTTCTCACTTCTGCCTTAGTGTGTTCTGAAGCAGTATAATAGTTACTTGCTGAAGAATCCTTCCTATGGTCATTAAAAGCAGCAGGGATAGACATACATGCTATACATTTTTAGTCTCCAAGGATTCTTCTCCTGTCCTTAAAAAGAAATTGTAACCTGGCAAGTCAGATATAAATGAATAATCAGAGGCAGAAGGTCAGAACTATAACCTTTGTCCTGTCATCAGAGTAGTCTGTGGGACCATGCCTATAAACAACTAACTATAAATATTCCTGATTTATCTACCTTCTGTAATCAGCATATTAAAAGAACATTTTCATAAAGGGAGGCAAGGAGGTAAACAATATTGGTTATGCTTATTGCATCTTCTTTCCTTCTTAGGAAGAATGGACTGATGATGAAGAATGGACTGATGATGACCTGGTAGATTCTCTCTAACCATTTGAAATTGATTTGTCAATGCTAACATATCTGGCATTTAAATTTCTTTAAAAATGAAATAATGTGAAAGCATCAAAGGACAGTAAACTTTATTTATTTGAAAGTTTTTTTATTTATTTGAAAGTTTTTCCTTCCAGGGTAGCTTGATGTAAAATAAGGTATGTTCAAAGGACCCAGAATAGCACCCACCCCCATGACTAATAATCAAATTAGTCTTCCTATAGTAGCCAAAGCTGTAACTTACTGCATTTTGTTTAAAACAACATAGGCAAATAAGCAAACATCCCTTGTGAAAAAAGGCACCATTATATGTGGTTTCTCAAATGCCATCTGATGTACTTAGCTATGTTACCACTTAACTACAGAATGTATGAAAGCTAGTGACCCAGGTATTTTTTCCCTCAATTAGTTAACTGAAAACATCTCCAAATGGTTTTCTTAAAAAGAAATCAAACAGGCAGTCTTTAGTAGTTGTCTAGATTAAAAACCTAAAGGTTGGGTAGCAGCAAATTGTATGTTCAGTTTTATAATTAACCTGTTAGATTACCATATAAATGTGTTACAGTTAGTAGAAAATTTTCAGATTAAGTATATTATTCTAGAAATTTATTTTAAATAGAAAGAAGTAGATATAAATGCACAGACTTTAGCACCAGATTACTTTGGTGTGAATCATGGCTACCTCCACTTTGGGCAAATTACTAAAGCTCTGTGCCTATTTTTTCCCCAGGGGAAAATAATGCCTCTGTATACTAAGTGTTCAATAAATGTTGGCTATTAATAACATTTGTTTAATTATTAATTGTAATCTTACTTATGGATGTTTGTCAGATTTCTTCTGGAAAACTGGGTTGAAGGAATTCTGAGAAACTCAACTGCCCTGAATCTGTGTTTTATGGATACATACCTTTCCTCATTGTCAATGTATCCATGGCTGCGCTTTCTATAGGAGTGTAGGTACCATTTTAATTACATCTTAGTATTTGAACACAATATTTACTGCACATGTATTCTTCTCTTTAATAATTCCTTTCATTTTAGGTATGAGCTTTTTTGGTTTATTTTTAGAATGAAAGGAATAAAATTTATGAAGTGTGACTTACAAAAGTGGAGGAGCCCAAATTGACAGTCCTCCAGGCCAGGTTAAGTACCAGTGCTGCTAGGCTCTAGCCAGAATTGCAAGCTGTTCACCAATACCTTGTTTCTCTTTTAGGTCACTAAACTGGCATCAAAGCAAGGTCCACATTTATTTCAAATTTTCCTACCCAGTTTTAGAGGTTTTATTTCATCATTGACCAGCTAGTTACTGCAAGGCCTGCAAAGGTAAATAACAAGTTTCCTATTGAAGCTTAAGAGACTGGGAGGGAACCAAACTGCCTAGCACTAGGTTTTTGGAAGGAGACCAAGTTGGATACTACTGTGGTGATCCAGCTGAAAAGCAGGAGGGAGGGAAAGGAAAGTAATATGATACAGAGAAAAAGTGGAACTGAGTTGACATTAATAAAAGGTATAGTACAGGGTATGCTGAGTTTTCTGTCATTATTCAACTGTGATTATAGCTATACCAGGGCTAGCTGCCTCCACAGAAATCTTTTAAACCCTCATATTTAACACTTTGTTTTTTCCTACATTTTAATCAGGGGGATAGAATAAAATGTTGCTCTTGGAATGTAGGCCTTTAGGAAATTTCTTTAGTGTGGGAAATGATTTTCCTAATAATCTCCCTTGGTTCCTGTCTCATCCACTTTTGATATGCTGCTTAATACCTATCCCCTATACAATTATAGGAGTGAATGAATTAATATGATCCTTCTAAAGAGACCATTAGCAAAAAAAAAATGACCTGAAGGTTCATCTTCTCTTTGGGCCTTGCTTTAATACTAAATTTGAACTGTTTCTAAACAAAGAAGAAAATTAAATTAAATGCTTACCTGTATTTAGACAGAAGTAATCAATTAAGTTAATATCCCTTGGTTTTATTTTAACTTAACCCTTGTGAATACTTCACAAAGATACACATACAGAAGCAAATAAAACTATACAAACTAAATACCCAGCAGATACAACAAGTAGTCAGAAGTTCAAAGATGGATAGCTGTTAAGTGACTCATGAGGTTGTTTGCATAATCAATTTGGAATTAATGAATACTTGAATACTTTCAACAAAAAGCATTCTAGGTGTTTTTTAACACAAAAGAAATTGGTAGTCTAAAATGTTTGGGTAACATGCATCGATCAGTACAATGACCAATATTTATTGAATTTAAACTATTTACTGTTGTAAACATTTAACAAAAGCATTATGAGATCTAAATACAGTTTGAACAAATAAGTGGTATGTTTAAAAAATAAAGCTGATGAGCAATAGTTCCATCTAGATTTTCTTTCAACAGTTCTAGCAAGAGAAGTAGCACAGTATTTTAAAAAAAAGTATACAGCAAAGGTTGTTCCTATTATAATGGCAAATTCTGGAAACTGTAACAAATAACAGTCAAACGGTCATATTCCTAGTCAGGAAGAAGTTACAGTAAGAACAGTATGCAATCCAGTTGTACTCGACAGAGAATGCTTTTTCTTGTCAGTTGATTTCATAGTTCTTTTCCCAAGAGACAGCAAAACTTTGGCAATTGGATGTATTGAAAATATATTCTCAAAGTTCAAAGTACAGTCATATGTTGTATGAAAGGTGATCTGTACACCAAGGCTCAGAGGTTGGTAAAGATTGATTCCATATGTGGAAAAAGTGCAAATATCCTGCACAGATAGCTTACAAAGCTGCTGGTACAATTATCCACCAGCAGAATCTAGGGTTTTGTTTGCATAGCTCACACATCACTGGAATGTGGAAAGGTGTGCTATTTTTTGGCAAGAGCAAAGGAGACATACTGATGTGAATTACCATGTTGGCATGCTGAATCCATGCAGACACTTGGGTGAAGGCTGCTACCTGACATCATTGGTTTTTGTATACTGGTTTTGTTTTTGTTGAAGCAGTTCTGTTATAGCCAGAAGCTTTTTCAGTACATGCTAGACAAGGAAAAACGGTATGAAAATAATTAGTAAATGAAGGAAAGCTTGGTAACTTGTGAAAATTTCTGAGTAGATTTAGTCATAATATTTTGGTTAAGTTAGACTTTTTGTACACTAAAGTGACTATAAATTCATTCGTGTGTTTGGCATTCTCATATCTTAGTCCAGAACACAGATTTATGAATGATACATCTTAAGCCCAATAAGATCACATAAGGGCAATCAGCTTGTAGCATAGTGATTACTTTAAAGAATCATGATTACATTTGGCTTAAAATTAAAACAAATATCACCTTTACCTGTCTTACAAAGTTTTAATTGGGCCAAATCCTCCAATAAAGATTTAAGTAATAATAAACCTAGCCCCAGTATAGCAAGGAGACATTATGCATGCCATGGGCATATTAGTAGGCCCATGGTACATACTCTACCCAAGTTTCTAAAGTGATTAGAACCTTAATGAGCCAGATTATTATCTTAAACTTTGATTTTAGAATCTCAGATTGAAGAAAACTCAGTCCTTTGTCCTATAAGGTCCCTGACAAATGGTTGGCCAATGTAGTGTCCTAATCTGGAAGAGCTTATTAGAAATCGCAGTTTCCAATGTCACATCTAGAATTTCTGGATCTGGAGCTTGAAATATTTTTTATCAAACTTCCTGAATAATTCTGTTTGTGAATCACTTGCCCATGTACAGTGTGTGAGAGACAAAGCCACATCACTGCTGACTTATTAGCTCATTTCCCATTTTCACACATGCCACTGAAGTGTATGTATCATTTTTTCTGTAGAGTTAACATTAATTTATATAAAACAGCAAGATTTGACATTTTGCAGTATCAAAAATACATACTCTGAGCCAATTATTCCTGTCTACTGAGAGCCTTACTGGGATTATGGTTCATTCTTTAAAATGTAAATATAACTGATAAAAATGCTGACCATAACTCAGCTACTTATTACCTCTCAGAGAATCGTTACTGTTAATGAAGACTGCCAAAAACCTACCTGCTGTGCACCACGCTCATTACTGAGCGTTCTCAGTTCATCTGAATGGGCCACACAAATCTCATGCAATGCTGCTAAGTCACGGGAGAGGTCAGTCCTAGAATGCTCTGTAGTGTCCGGAAGTTCAGGTACATTCTTTAAGGAAATCATAAAACTGCATTTAGAAATATAAATCTTAAAATTTCTTCTGAAAAGATCCTAATGGGTTATAATAGAATTAGCACATAATATCCTTTTAAATTTCTGTTAAAATCCTAAGGACTTATTGGAATGTAATATTCAGTGCTAATTCCGCTAAACATAGATTTTGTGATCTTGGTATTCACATCAAAACCATTTTCTTCCACAGCATGGCTGAACACTGTGCATTATTATTGCTATTCTAAATAAACGGGTTTCATGAACTTTATAGAGGTTTGTTTTGTTTTGTTTTTAAATGTGGAACGCATGCCAAAAAATGTAAGTACTGTATTGGTTGCTAATATGGATTAAATGCAACCTAAACTTAAAATTCCTTTCAGACTGAATCTCATTATTAAGATATAAATTTATCAGCATATGTGAGAAGAATGTCAAGCCTATAGTTAATTATCTGTGGATTATTCCCAAAACACTTGCTAATGTGTGAATAAATATGATCAGTGTTAATTATGGTACTTCAGATAAGGTTCGTAAAGTAACAGTCACTATAGGACATTGATAGTACTTTATTAACACTAAATACTGATATTTTGAGCCTCAGCCTCAGAATAAAATATGACATGGGCTCCAGAATGGTGACAATATTTGCTATACAATTCCTAAATACTGCAAAACACTGTTTACTATAGTATAAAGAAATAATTAGAATATAATTCATTCTTATTTATTAAATGACTCAGTAATGAAAGACACTAGTATTTGCCCTGAGAGAGCTTACAGTCTAGTTGATATGACAAAACTAAACTGATCATAGCAATACAGAATTTTATATCACAGACATGCAAAAGGAATTTCAGTTTTTTAGGGCTTAGCAAAGCCTTCCTGAAGGAGAGATTTGAGGTGAGTCTTGAAAGTTAAATTTGATTTATACAGGAAGAAAAGGAATGGAAGAGTATTAGAACACTGGGATTCTAAGCAATTTGAAAGGCTAGACTACACATGTGGCATTACTAGGAAAGTGGTAGAGAAAGCTGAACTGTAGATAATTATGATTATGGAAAATGGAGTTCCAACCATGAATCTGAAAACCTAGAAATGTGGCTTAAGATAAAATGAGCTAGCCTTAAATATTGGATAAACAGTTTTCACACAGCTTCTTAAATATTATTTTCAACCACTGACCAGCTAGATTTCTTAGAAACTAGAAGTACTTCTATCTTCAAAACTTACCAGGTCACATATGGAAACATGATGAACACAATTATTTGCCCTCCTTTGTTTCATAAGAAATTATTTACAGCATAGGTCATTTCTACAGTATTTTTTTTATACCTGAAATTGAAAACTAGGGGCCCACAAGCAGTCCTGATAGATTTGACTGCATAGTGGTATAGTTGTTGTTTTTCTGTTTTAACTGAATTTGAATGCATTAAGGCAGAACATGAGCATCTCACTTTCCTACTGTAGCATTCCCTAATACCATGTCTAAATTCACATATATATGTTCCCTTTTTGGTTTCTATATATATGAACTGAATAGCAAATACATTTATTTGATTTTAAATTGAGTCAGTATCTGAAAATTTATAACTAAATTGTACTAAGAATAAGAAATCCAGGGTCTTAGAAATTATTTTCTTTAAAACCCCCATTCTTAATTTCATAATCACTATTTTACTTATAAAGGCCCAAGTAAGGTATAGGTAGTCGTACTAACTGAAGTATAACTCCAAATCCATGTATATTATTCCTAGAAAGCCATAAGAATATTCATTCTCCAGTCCATTTACTTAAAAGTAGCAAAAGAATGTCACAATAGTAAGGTGAAACAACTAATAGAATAATGAAAGAAAAACTAGAAAATGACACAAATCCAAAAGCCCCAATAATGTATGCTTGGTATAAATCATTTAGTCTAAGAATAAATGGTTAAAACTATAGTCAAAATATTTTGTTTAAGAAGGTAAACAAAAGTATGCAGTTTTTTTAGTTCTGGATAGAAAGTCTCTTTAAAAGTTTGTTGCTAAAATGAGTTTACTCTAAATAAATTCTTTAATTCCAAGAAATAAACATGAATAACTATAGGTCTCAAAGTACTTAAAAAGTTATATACATACCCCAAGTTCATCTAAAAACATGATCATACGATGTTTGTTACTTTTGATGAAAGGATTGACACCTTCCATATAGGGTTCCTAAAAATATAAACAAAAAACTCACTTTATATGCATCAAAAACAAACACTGTCTGATCTATATAACAAAACATACATGTGGTAAGAATTCTTATATATCTGTATCCATCAGTAGCAATACATGTTCACAGTGACAATATTTTCATT